TCTTTTAGAACTAGATGCATTATGAGCGATAGCATGCAACTGCTCTACTAACATCAACTGATTTCAAAAATCTAGGATGGTGCCAAGCATGCTTATCCAGATCTGATGCCCCGTCACTCTCTTCTCCAAACAGCAATCCCAGCAGTTCAGGGAAGAGGCATGTGCTGGTGGTTTTCTGGTTGTAGTCCTGTAGCCCTCTGACTCCTCCTAGAGCCAAAGGATGGTGGGGCCTATCAGAAAATCAAACTGGAGAGCTTGGTTGCAGGATAAGTCCATCAATTGGTTGCATCGCTATTTCTCATCCATCCCTCAAAGCTAAGCTTGTGTCAGAGGAGAAATGCCCAAGACCACTGGAGGCCTTTCCTAAAATTGCTGATCACAATCATTTTTAATGTGTCAGATAGAAAAAAAATCTGAAAATGGTACTTGCTTCATTTTAATCAAAATATACTTAAATCAAATATAAAAAGTGGATCAAATCTAGCTGATGTTGCCCTGATCCTTCCCCTTTCTTCTTCTCCCAGATCCGAAGTTGTGTATCCCTAACAATAATCCTCTCAGGTTGCCCTGTTCTATAAGGAGCTTAAGGCATTCATGAGGAAGGGAAAGAAAGGAAGTGATGTCACACGCATGATGACATCATTATGCGAATGACATCACAATGGCATGACATCACTGGGGTTTGTACTAGCCATCTAGGCTAAGAATCAGTGTAACATAGATATAAATTTCTATTTGTGATAAATTACATCTGTTTCTTTGGCACCAACCGCTCAGGGGGTCAAAGACCTTGCATTTCTTTTGAACCCACATCCTAAACTCACCACATCCTCAATCTGAGGAGCTCCCTTTGCTTGAGCTCCATCCCTCCTCCCAGCTGCATCCCACTCCTTGCCAGGAGGGCCCCACGCTTAGCCATTCTTCCTTTCCCTTTCATACAGTTCTTCTCCTTTATCTCCTCTGCTCTAAATTTAGCCCAGGTCTGTCCACATTTCCTTTTTTCCTGCCAGGGAAAAAATTGACAATAAAGCAACATATAATCAGAGAACTAAATCTGCAAAAAGACAGGTTCAATAATCTTTGCTTTCCATTGTACGCTTTCTCTCTGAGGAGGAGAAAGCCTCCTGCTCTTCTCTGGTGGAGCTAAAATCCCCTGTAGAAGTTGCAGCTCACAGACTCTGCTGGATTTGAAATTACTGCCAAAAGACTATTTCAAACATTCAAGCTAGCCTCCAATAACTCTCCTCCCATTTTGATGCAGATAGACCCTAGCAAGGACTTCCTGTTACGACGGCATAGAAAATATTATTTATGACCATCATAGCATCCAGTCACGTAATGAAAATTTGGATACTTGGCAACTGGCATGTGTTTATGACGGCTGCAGCATCCCCGGGTCACCTGGTCATCATTTCCGACCTTCCCTAAACCAGCAAAGTCACTGGGAGAAGCCAGATCGTCTTAACAACTTCAGTGAATCACTTAACAGTCATGGCAAAATAGGTCGTAAAATTGGGAGATGCTGAGGTTCAAATCCTTTGGCCACCTAATGAGAAGAGAGGACTCCTTAGAGAAGACCCTGATGTTGGGAAGGATGGAAGGCCAAAGGAGAAAGGGACAGCAGAGGAGGAGAGGGTTGGCTAGAGTCATAGACGGATTGAACATAGATTTGGGCAAACTCTGGGAGACAGTGGAGGATGGGGTGGGGCTGGTATCCTCTGGTCTGTGAAGAGTCGGACATGACTTAACAACTGAACAACAAAAACTGAACCCAAGAATTCTCTTGCTCCCGTTTATTGTCTGGTGGGTGCTGGAGAGCAGTCCCAAAACCCTCTGCCTCTTCCTTGATTCCTAGGAATTTGCTCCTTATTTCTCAAAGTCAGCCTTAACAAAGATATTAAGCTTGAACTAGCTATGCTAGTCTCCCTTTATTTCTTTGTCAGTCAATTTAAATTTTACATAAAATAGTTTGCCACAGAAGCAGTTGCCTGCAAAAGCTCCTGGACTGGGACTGAAAGGTGAAAGCGGAAGCAGTCTTGCTCCCTCCCACATTTGGATAGACCAGGTGCCTAATGATAGACTGGTCTCACTGGAAAAGCACCTAACAAGGTTGGTTCACCTGCCTGCCATTTTCTCAGTTCTCCTTCATCCACCTTGATGTTTCATTTATTAAAATAATTTTGACCTAGTGGGTCTATCAATTTAAAATCCAATCAAAAATTAGGAGAGCCATAAAAAGCAACGGTGTATTCATGCCAGATGCCTAAATTAGTTGCTGAATTGATTTGTTTTCTGTGTGTGCAGTTTGTTGAGCTATAAACTAATGGAATGGCCTGGGCTCAATCCAGTGCTAATCCACCCTCCCCTCCCCATATATTCTAATCAGCTTTAATTAGCTGTAGCTATAGGCTTATAAAGTTCAATGTCTTGTACAAAACCAGCTAGGGATAAGGGATTGATACAAAATCAGCCAAGATGGCAGAACTAAAGGAGAGCCCCCAAATTGCCTTAGCCAATTATTTATAACTCAAGAATTGAACAGAAAGGAGATATTTTCCCAGTTTTGGTGCTAATGCGAAAATGTCCTTTCCTATTACACAATAGCAATAGCACTTACGTACTTATAAACCGCTTTGTGCTTAACAGTCCTCTCTAAGTGGTTTACAGAGTCAGTCTCTTGCCCCCAACAATCTGAATCCTCGGAAGGATGGAAGGCTGAGTCAACCTTCAGCCAGTCAGGACTCAATCCCGCTAGTAAAGTTGGAAGAGCTAGGTTTTTTAAGAAGCAGATGTAATTATTTGTTTCTCTCTATTTGATTTTTTAAAATAATCATTATATCACTTCCCATGAAGGCAGCCCTGGAAGTGACAGAAGTTTGGAAAAAGGTAACTTCTGGTGTCATCAGGAAATGCTGACAACAACTCCAACTGAAAGGGGGAGTCCATTTGTGGAGGCTTAAATGGAACTAAGGACAAGAATATAAGCCATGTTTGAAGGATTAGGCGGTCTTCAGCTAATGTGACTAGGAAGCAATGAGAGTGTAGTCCCAAAGGTGCTTTTTCAGGAGACAACTGGACTTTCTTTTTTTTCTTTTGAAGATATTTTACTTCTCATCCAAGAAGCTTCTTCAACTCTGATAGGATAATGGGGAATGGAAGGATTTATAGAGAATCTCTACAGATAATAAGTGTGTTGCTTCCTGGTCTAAAGGAAAATCCAGAAATCCCATCTATTTGATTGGAAATATTTGACTCAAAAATTTGATCAGGAAGTAATTCAATGGAACTGCATCTTCAGACTGAACCTTTTGAAGCAAACCAGCAGATAGAACTGAATGACTTCAAAATTCAGATCCAATCTGGGGATTCAATTGATATTTTGAGCCTGAACAAACATACTTTCTCTCCATTGAGTTGAAAATCCAGTTCAAATTATTAAACTAAATTAAATTACATGTATTTCCTAAAGTGAGTTAGAGTCCAAATTGAGTACAGTGAAAATAATCACAATTAAAAAGTTTTTAAAGAAGAGACTGGACAGTCATTTATCCAGAATGTTTAGAATAGAGTCTCCTGCTCGACCAGACTAGAAGACTTCCTTAATTCTTTCCAACTCTGTTATTCTGTTACATCTGACCAATATTCCCAATTTAATATTGATTAGGAGTTCCATATCTCTATTCTATTATCTGCTTTTATTTGGGGTTTTTGCTACTGATTCACTCTTGAAATATATACTACAGTGCGCAAAACATCGCAGGATCTGGGGATTTCGACAAAACACTGAAAGCAATGCTGCGACGCCATAATGCTGATATATCATTCCCCTCCACCTCTTAGATCCCCCCTGAAGCTCCTTCTGCTGCAGAGTTCCTTGCTCACTGGACAAATTAACGTGGATCCTCTTGAGAATTTTAACTAGACACCATTATGGAGGAGTGCTTGAACTGCATACGTCCTTGTCCAACTGTATCGCTTCTCAGAAGTGCAATAACACCAACAATCCAATCTTTTTGCATGCAGTTTTTAAAAACAACCTGATTAAATTTAGTCTCAAGCAGTCTCGTCTCTGTTGGTCTTGATAGTTCTGGCAAGGAAAGGAAGAACCATTTTCCTTCCTGCCACACATTTTTTCCATCCAAATCCTGCAAAGTTTTGACTCCTGCCTCTTCAGCCTGATTGGTTTTGAAAAAGTATTTTTTTCCCCTTTGTTTTTGCTCTGGGTCCCATTGAATTGTCAGTAATTAATCAGAACAACATTGGCCACCTGATCCTTACAGATCACCAATATGTATAATCTTTTCTCTTTTGTGAGCATCTTATACAAATCATTGGAGATTTAAAAAAAGAAGTGGGAATCAACCTGACATTTTAAATAAACTTTTTCTCTCTCTTTTTCTATTTATATAGATATAGATATATTTAAAGCCCACTATATAAACACTGTACAATATGAAATAATTACAAATCAATTCTGCTAAACTACATAATCCTATGCAAGGTATGACTTCATAATTAATCACACAATATGCATAGCTTGTGCCTCCTTGCTGTCATGGCTTCTTCGGTATCAGCTACATTCCCCAGCAATTCCTACTAACTGTCTGGTATTATTGTCTAATTATCCTTCTCTTAAAACCCAGAGGTATCTCAAGCAGATAGCAGTCTTTGTATAGGTAATCCTTGACTTACAGCAGTTCATTTAGTGACTGCTCAAAGTTATAAGAGCGGTGAAAAAATTGACTTGTGACAAATTTTCATACATGGCCACCATTGCAGCTTCTGTGTGATCACGTGATCAAAATTCAGGTGCTTGGCAATGGATTCATATTTATGTCGGTTGCAGAGTCCCGGGTCACATGAGCCCTTCTGCCATTTTCTGACAAGCAAATTCAATGGGGAAGCCAGATTCAGTTTACAGCCATGTGACTAACTTAACAACTGCTGTGCTTCACTTAACGACTGTGGCAAGAAAAGCCGCAAAATGGGGCAAAATTCACTTAGCAAATGTTTCACTTAGCAACAAAAATTTGGGGCTCAATTGTGGCTATATGTTGAGGACTACCTGTACCTCCAACTACTGTCACAATGTGCTGGGTTATTTCCTATGCCTGACCTATCTCAATGTTACAAATGATGATCTGGCAACTGGACTGAAGAATCTGCCTGATACTAAATCAGAATTTCTCAATCATGACAACTTTAAGACTTGGACTTCAACTCCCAGAATTCCCCAGCCAGCCTGGAGACGAAGGAGCAGAGCCTTGGCCGTTCTGTAGGTAAAATTGATCCTTTTCCCTCTCTATCCAATCTTCTGCCATTTACCCTACCCAATCTTGTACCTTGACAATGGAGAAAGTTACAGGCAGAGGATGGAATGTCACTCCTGCTCATCACAGGAAGGCAGGCCACCACTTGGTGGAGAAGATGAGCTGAAGAATCCCACTGCCCTCTGCAGGCTGGAATAAGAGCAGATTGGATTGAGAAGATGGCAAGGGACCAATGAGGCAGAAGTGGGCAAAATATAGGCATACTTTTCACAAGGCTTATTTCAGGGAGTCAAAGCTCTGTGTATACATCTGTTCCTTGAAGGACTACTACAGGCTACATGGATCCCAATTCCTTGCTGGAGGTATGGAGAATTTTCTTGGACAAAAAAAGGTACTTATATTTTTGAAGGGCTACAGCAGAGCCTTCACTAAACTTCTTCAGAATAATCAGGTATCCATTAATGTAACTGGTCTCCCTCGGTTGACAAAGGCAAATTGCCAACCAATTTAGACAATATGTAGCAGTCCAAAAAAAAATGGCATATGCCAAAAATTGAGAGACAGACATTTCCTTAACACTTCTTGGCAATGGAAAGACTTTAGTTTATCTTGATTGTCGAAGGAGGAAAGCAGAATCTTCCTGTTATGCAAACTCTTGTATACTTTTGATTAGAATCTGAGGGCAGAATTTAAGAAGCGTGATTAAGCAACCTCAAGACTCAGCGCATTCTTTCGCTTTAAAAAAGAAGGTTCTCCAACTTGGCAATTTTAAGACTTGTGGATTTCAATTCCCAAAATTCCCCAACCAGCATGGCTGGCTAAGGAATTCTGGGAATTGAAATCCACAAGTCTTAAAGTTGCCAAGTTTGGAGACTCTTGCTTTAAAAGAATGCACTGTACCTCTTGGGACCAAATTCTACCCCCCACAAAAAAATAGAATAGGGCTGTGCGGTGCTTTGAATTCAATATCCCAAATTGCTTCAAATTATGTTGAGGTCTGAATCCAAAACTTAAAGCAAGCCTGAAAGCAGCCACATCATTAAAGAGGAGGCTACCGTGGAGCGACCTCTGTAGCAGATGTGCAATCCTGAAAAAAGATACAGTTGTATTAATGAGCCACAGAGAGGCCTGAATTCACTTACACTGAAGCAACTTTTCAAATCTTGCATACCCATAAATCAAAAGGGGACTTCAGACCTCCCTCCAATAAAACCCAAAGCTGTGAAAAACCATGAATTTAGGGGCAGTTTACAGCCCCACACTCACCTAATTAAAAAAATTAAGTGATCTACAAAATACAAAAATCCCAATAAGACATAAAAGAAAAACACAAAGCAGTCAGAACATTAAAAATGTGTGTGGTTTTTGTTACGCTTTCTTAATGTTTTGACTGCTTTGTGTTTTGTTCTGAGTTTTATATTTTGTATTTTAACTTTGTTCTGAATAAAAGAAAAACATAAGTAAAAAAAATGGTGATCTTAGGAGAGAGGAATTGGCACTTGTTTTCATTCACTGCCAAATACTGTTATGTTTTTAAAAATTACCATTATATTCCTATGTACATTTAGTGAGTGTATGCCCAGTGAAACTCAATCAGGACTTACTTCCAAATAGGCACAACTATAAAATTGGGTATTTATGAAAGTGTGTGAATATCAACTTACTTTGGTGGAAAATTTTAATTTTCAAGGCTGCTCAAGGATTTTAAGATGATTAAACCAGGAAGGAAAGGTACACAGCATCTTTCTGGAAAGAAACAAGCACCTAAAACCATCCTGCCCTGTTTGTGATGGTTGACAGTTTTATCATATTTGGTTATATCAGCTCAAAAATCAGAATTTTCCCATTAATATTTTGCAAACTTTTTTTCTGGATGCACAAGCAATTTTACAGCAATTTTGGTTTTAGTTCTTCACAATTAGGGGAAAAGTGGGGGGGAGGAGAAGGAAATGTAGTGTTTTCTCCATGGCAACATTGAGAAAATTTAATTATAGATCAGAATGCAAAATAACTCAGCAAATTAATTGTTGGCCTGGTTTTGCTGATTCCCTCGGACATTTGAAACTCTTATGGTTAGAAACATTCATGGCTCACTATTCACACATTCACCTGGGTGACAGATTAATAATAAAGTGGGAAAATAAATATTCTATCTTCCCACTAAGTGGAGTCAGAATAGTCTTCTGAAGAACAGGGGATTCATGTTTTCTACAAGTAGAGTCAAAAAATCTTGCAATGCTAATTCGTCTCCCTCAATGGCTGCTAATCTGGGATTTTTTCTCAAACTCCCCTTGGTCACATCTGAACTGGGATTGTTTGCCCCTTGTCCAACCGTTGCCATCTCTCCCTGAACTTGGCTTATGGTCAGGCATGACTGCCAAAAGTAGCAAGGCTCAAACTCTTCCTACTGGCCATAACATGTCTTGCAAAATAAACCATGGAATCCTATGCTGTTATGTGAGGTCCGAAGGATTTGTGGATTCAGGCTCTCAGAAGCTGCAGTTAGCACAGCTGCTGAATTTGCAAGCTGGGGGTTATGGTTGTGTTCAGCAGGTTAGGGAAATCTGAAATCTACTGTCTGTCATCCTGTTTTTCCCCTTCCCTTGTAAAGTGCTAGCAATTTGTCCCAGCCAATTTGCTTTCTGGAGCTTAGTTGAAAGTGCTAGAAGCAATGGAGAAAAACTTAAGAAGGATTTACTAACTTTGGAAACCAAATTACTGGATTTTCCACAGAGAGAAGCCTCTCTTCGCACCCCCTTTTGTGCGCTCTGAGGAATGGGTCTCTTTAGGAAGGGCGTTGGCTTAAATTTATCCCCATAAATTGATGGCTGTCTAAATCTGTCAGGCCCAGGCTGGAATCTTGGGTGGGAATGACTGCAAAGGGTCCCCTGCCTTGCATGGTGTAGGGCTAAGGGAAGGTCGCTCCATTTTTCTAGCATGTTGAACAAAATTCGGGTGTCATTTTCACCACTGGGAAAACTCAGGAGAAAGCCAGTCTTCTCCTCCCCCACCCGTCCCCCAACTGAGTGTTTCAAAAGATAAGGATCCCTAATGCCTGACTGCCCACAAAGAGGCTACCTCAAAACATTGTCAACAACACAACATGGCACGAAAGCAAAGCTCCTGGAGGCTGAGCTGCTCAGGGCAGCCGTGATTTACCTGCCAGGAACACTGAGTCGCCTAAGCCTGGTGGCAGAAAGGTGGCAGGAAAAAAACTGGGAGACCTCCCCCCCCCCTGCTCCAAAGGCAGCCCACCGCTCCTTCTTTAATCGGACCACTCGTTCTCCTCCAACTCTGAGTCGTCGTCTGATTCGCTGTATTCCACAGCAATCCTTCGGGAGAGAATGGTGGCCACGTCATTCCCCACCGGCTCCTTCTTGGCTTCCTGTTCCCATTGCTCTTGGACTTTGCGCAGCTGAATTCCTGGGGAGGGGAAGAGGGAAGGTTTTTCTCCAGGTCAATCTAAGGAAGCAGACTCCTGGCAACAGCTGATCTAGCAAGCCCCAGATGAAGGCTCAGACTGGCTGTACCCAGTAGTGAAATTCAATTTTTTTTACAACCTGTTCTGTGGGTGTGGCATGGCTTGGAGGGCTTGGCAGGGGAAGGATACTGCAAAATCTCCATTCCCATCCCACTCTGGGGCCAGCCAGTGGTATTTGCCAGTTCTCTGAACTACTCAAAATTTATGCTACCGGTTCCCCAGAACTGGTCAGAACCTGCTGAATTTCACCCCTTTTGTGTGATGCTTTGGTCTAATGCTTCTGGATTCAACTCCCAGAAGTCCCCAGCCAGCCATGCTGTGGAGCTGAAGTCCACAAGTCTTAAAGCTGCCCAGTTTGGAGAGCCCTGATCTAAAGCAAGAGTTCTCAACTTGGGCACGAGGACATTTCAAGGAAGCCTGGGGTGGAAACAGGTAATGGGGGCCCAGAACACATGCCGAGAAGGCCACAAAAAAGCAAAGTGTATAAAACTGCAAATACCGTGGGGTCCTTGTTGCTCTCTGAGCTTGGTTTACAGATGTTTCATTATATTCAATAGCCTAGTTTGGGTAATGAAACATGTGCAAGAAAACAACCAAGCTCAGAGGCTACCACCAAGGACACCTCATTTCAACCCTAAGCTACAAATATTCTCCTTTATTATTGTGGACATAAGAAAAAAGCACCAGTTGCATGTTCTTATCTGAGAAGAGATCTGGACAAGGGGGCCACAGGAAAAAAGGAAGGTTGGAATTGGATTAGAAAATGGTTGAGAAATATTCATCTGGTGAATTTGTTGCAAACTTCTAGCATGCTTGTGAAACCCAACCCACCACTTCTTTCAAGGTGTTCATGTCAACTCACAAAGCCTTCCTGACCTGCTCTCGAGTTGCCATGGGAGGGGGAAGGGGAATCGAGCCTCGCAGCTGCAGCGAGGGAATTGCACTTCAGTCAAAACAAAAGCACATTCCAGCCAGCAAATATCAAGGCCATCTCCACAGAGACTCATAGTGGCCGGAGGGAGGGACTTCTACAACCTGCAAAATTGCTTCACTAGGGAATGTGACTGATGACACATCTTGAGGGGGAGGCAGGGTCAGAGCCAAGGAGCGAATTAAGTGAGGTTAGAGTTGGCTCCACTCAGTACGTGCCTACATGACGCTCCTAATAAACAACTGGATTTCTTTCGAACCTTGGCTTGAGATTCATCATTTACTTAGGGCATTGGTTGGAACCCTGACCGTTCACGAACTATACAGAGTGATCCCCAGGTCTCTCTTAGTTTGAGTGATGGCACTAAGAACGGATCCATTTGCTAACCCCACCCAAGGACGAAGGGACCCTCAACAAGGCAAGGCACATAAGGCAATTGTGGGCTCCTATAGTTCAGGGAGAGGGGGCATCTGACCTCCATCTGCAGCCAACCTGCCATGGCCAACTTGCTGAAGGAAAACTCACTGCAAGACAAGAGTTACACTAATACCCAAGAAAAGGTGGAATAGAATCACAAAAGAAAGGATGCAAAAGGAGGGACAAAATGAAATGTAAATGACAAAAATTGAAATAATGTTTTAATTATTTTAAACATTTAAATTGAATTCTTGAGTTGTTCCATGGTGAGTTGCCCACGGTGAATTGACCATGGCAAGACGACCATGGCAAGTTGGCTACAGCAAGCTGTCCCATTCCACCCCTTGGTGTGGGGGATGGGATGATGTTCTCCTAATTTTGCTTCCTTTGCCAAGGAAAATCAGGGTCACTAAAGTGCATCAGCTCAAATGCTGCAGGTGGGTCCAAATCATGGGCAAAGCAAAAGGCACTGACTTACCCCGGCGGATGGCAGCGAGCAGGTCGCTCCTGGCATCAGTCATTGGAATCAGGGGCACCGGCTGCTTCCGGGATTCCACTGTCACGGCAGGCGGGGAGACTGTGTGTGCAGGGGAGGCTGAGATGGTGGGGGGCCCAGGAGGGGGAGGGGGAGGTGCAACAGGAGGTCCCATGGGGCCAGCCTGGGGAGGAGAGACAGAATAAGGGCAGGGCACAGCAGGGGGAGGGATAGGCGCATAGGTGGCATGGCTAACTGAAGGTGCAGCATTTGGTGCCATGGCCGAAGGTGCTGAGACGGGGCTGTCGAAGGCAGTTTGAGCAGAAGGGATGACTGGGGGTGGGGGCGGAGGAGCAGGTGGCACAAAGTAGTCTGCCATTGGCACTGGTTGAGGACTGCAAAGAGAAGGAAAGGAAAGAAGGTCACCAGGTGGCAGGACAAGAAACAACAGATGGAAACTAAGCAAGGAGAGAAGCAACCTGGAACAAAGGAGAAACCTCCTTACAGTGAGGACAACTAACCAGTGGAAAGAAGTTGCCTTCAGAGGTTGTGGGTGCTTCATCACTGGAGACTTTCAAAAAGAGACTGGACAGCCATTTGGAATGGCATCAGGTTTCCTGCTTGAGCAGGACTACAAGACCTCCAAGGTCCCTTCCAACGCATTCTATGTTCTAAATAAGCCATTTCCAGCTTTCATCCCATCAAAACAAAGGCATTTCATGGGAGGGAAGGGTTGTCCAGTAGTGTGGTCTCCCAACACATAAAATGAACTAACTGGGAGAAGCTCCAACAAGCTCTCCTTGCCTAACTTTCTCTGCCTTTTTGCTGAAGAGGTTGGGGAGGTGGCTCAGAAGACCCATGGTTAAAGCCCTAGACCAGGAGTGTCCAAACTTGGGAACTTTAAGGCTCGTGGACTTCAACTCCCAGAATTCCCCAGCCAGCATAGCAATAGCAGTTAGACTTATATACCGCTTCATAGGGCTTTCAGCCCTCTCTAAGTGGTTTACAGA